AAGTGACGCGTCGGTTAAACTTTTACTTTGTTCAAAATGTAGACTGGTTATATTTGGGTATGAGCGTAAAATAAAAAGAATTTTTATTTGAGAGTTTAAAATAATGCGTAGTTTTAACACTTCTTAAGCTTGCACTATAAGATGTTTTCTGTTTTTTACATGCTGACTATAAAATTTTTCAAAAGGAGTAATATCCTTACTGGAGGCAGATATCTCGTGGTCGCAATTCTGATGCTCTATCTCCTACATAGCGGTCTATAAAATAATATGTCAATGAAGAATTCAAAAACGCAAAAAGACTAATTAATACACGCACTGTCAAACAAGCCATTTTATTTTCTCTTGCATCGTTAATTCCTTTGTCTGAGAATCCTTTGTGATAGAAATATAAAAATGAAGCTATCGTGGTAAAATATATACTCATCTGATGACCAATAAGAAGCTTGGGTGAAGATCATACGTGTCTCAAAATAAGTAAATCGATAAATTCTATTTTAAATTGATAGAATGGGAGATGATTCTACACGTCGCCATGTGGTGCTAAGCACTTCAGTGGTTTGTATCATCTGAAATTACAGACGACTTTTTTGGTTTTTCATTTTCTGAATTAATTTCTTATATTCAGGGCGATATTACTTTAGAGCTATATTGGAATCATGCGCGTAAAACTTGTGAAAATTTTTATCAATTGGTAATTCGAAGAATTTTTTGATTTCTTGTTATTATTTTACTGAATGATAATAATCATTTCGTAATTTGTAAAGGCAAAACGAGGATATTATAATGATGTGATTGTAAGCATCCATTTATTATTCATTTCCTTGAATTTTTGCAAATGCTAACTTCACGTGACTTCATAATCAAAGTTTCATAGGATAATACCGGTATTATTTAATTATGATATCCTTTGTTAAGGGTAATTTCGACTTAATAAAAATGCCAATAAACAATCTACCCATTAGGATTTTATGATTCAAGGTGGTGATCCTACAGGCACGGGACGTGGAGGACAGTCAATATATGGGTAAAAAATATTTTTATATAATTAGGAGAGATTTGATGAAGATATTCTAACACCAAAATTGCTTATCATTAGTCGTCATTTTGAAGATGAGATAAATCCAGAACTCAAGCACACCGGTGCTGGCATATTAAGTATGGCTAATTCAGGTCCTAATACTAACGGTAGTCAGGTAGAAATGATAAATTAATAATATATGGAATCGATGTTATTTTTATCACTACTTAACATGGCGACTATTGACTTTTTATTGGCAAAAATAATTAGTTTTTTATCACATTGGCCTCTACACCTTGGTTGGATGGTAATTTTATAGATAAATTGATTTGAAGGGTTTTTGTATTTTGACTTTTGATCTCTCTAATAAACATAGGTAAACATACAATATTCGGGAGAGTGAGTCAAGGAATGCGTGTGGTTAAACGCATGGGATTGGTTGCTACTGATTCTCAAGATCGGTAAATATATCTTTTTATAAGTTGCATATTTAGAATATTGATAAATCATTTAGTTTTTTTCGCTCCTTTAAAATAGGCCAAAAGAAAATGTCAAAATTTTGAGAGCTCTAGCAGTTGATGAATAATAACCATGCAATTAATGACATTGTAATCAACAAAAAGTTACTTTCTATTTTTTTTTTTGTAATAATCTAAAGATAAAATTCTCTAGCATGTATCTTTTAATGTTTCATCTAGTTGTATCTGATATATTACTTCTCCTGCATGGGATTATTGGTATTAACCGAGAGAAGTTCTGTTTCATAATGTTGAATTTTTATTATATTTATCATATCTATGATTTAGACTTTAAAACGGAAACCTTTTTGGATTAAATCACATCAGAAAGAAATCCAAACAATAGGAATGCTAATTTAACTTGCTTTCACAATTCAAGCAGCTTAATCTATTGAATCTGATAAAGATTTCTTGCGATGCGCTAATTTTCCTTGTCCGGAAAGTTTATTCCATTTTTCAAAGCCTTCTGGTTATCAAAGAACTAAGTGATCGAGCACCTCATGGAAATCTTAACAATATCCAGTGAATGATATGGAGCAAGAACCTATTAATTATCGCATGCATTGGAATCAATGATAACATGCACTCAATTATAAATCCATTATATCAGCATTAACGGCTAATTTGGCAATCTCGCCGTCATAGTTGACTAGATTTTGCAAATAAAATCACATACATAATTAATTAGGAATTGATCGACTTAATTCTGCCCAGTCGAGAAAGATCTCCCTATAATAAATTGAGTTGACATATAAGTCTTGGATTTCCACTACGTCTTCCATTAATATTTGAAAGGCCTTTATTCATAAAGCCTTGAGCTGCATAGTCCTTATCGTATAAAAAAATGCAATTAAATACATACGATGAATTTTGATCAGTCGTGAATTGATAGAGGATGCTTAAAAGACGCTTTACATTCTTCGCAAATCGAATCTTTTATCAAGGCGAAAGCACAAATGATTCGAATAAGTTCGAAAACATTATAAAGAGCGTAGACGAAAACTCATATTATGTTACTATTGTAGGCACTTTTTTATATTGTGATCATTTTACATTAAGATTAAATAAAAAAATGATTATATTTTTAATCCTCATCTATGTTAAAATACAAGTCATGCAAAAATTGCGTATAGTGGGAAAAAGTACTTTGAGGAGTTCCAATAAATGGATCACCCTTGGCGGCAACTATCATGTCTACCATGAATAGCAAAAAGTTCTTAAGAGGTGTTTGGTCCTTTGGATTTTGGATGTATTTCAATCCATCAAGTTCTGGTTTAAAATCCCCTAATGTTAATATGCACGGGTAGACTTTATATAGTGCGTCATAGCTTTCATGATTACGTGGATCTGGCAAATCGGTTGCCATGTAAATTAAGGTATTTTTCAATGGATCAAATTTGCTTAGACAATCTTCAGCTGAATTAAGTGAGTCATTAAATCCATAGAAATTCAAGTTAAAATCTTCGCTGGCAGATCCTAATTCTGTAACAAAGGTCTGAACAGTTTCATCAGAAGACTCTAAGAATTTTGCATCACTTAGTCGTACATGCATTCCTAGATAAGCTCCTTTTCCTCCAATCTTAGCCACGATTTTGTTTGCAACCTCAAGAACAGCCGGATGTGTATAAGTGAACATGGCCTTAATTTTCTCGTGCACCTCATTATTCTCTTGAAGTTCGGATAGGATTCGCCCAGTGCCAAACAAAGTTTCGAAATATAATACTTTTTGTGGCCACTTCTTTAGATCCTCGATGTTCATACGAGTCGCGTATCTCCCCAACGACGTTTCGCTCTCTGGATCATCATAAAATCGAAGTCCATACGGATTTTTATCTTTAAAGAAAAAGATATCCTTCTTTTTCACATTAATCCTTTGCATTAACCATTCTTGATTAAAACTTTCAGCGAAAATGTAACGAATACCTAATTGTTCAGTAAGTGACTCAAATTTATAAAAATTGTCCCATTGCATAATCGTCCAGGAATTATAATCTTCACATTCTTTCGGGTTTTTGTCATTATGTAATGCGCCCGGACACTTTTCCAAGCCTATTTTATTGAGCTTATTGATACCTTTGTAAAGGAGATCAAAAGGTTTCCATGGATTTTTATTGCCAAATATTATCGGCGGAATGATTAATGTGCGATTTAGAAGATACGACAGTAAAAACGCGTTTTCTAGTTCGAGTCGTTGATTGTTGAATTGTCCATGAGTTAAATAAGTTAAGAATAGTTCACCATTGGCTTTTTTAGGTTTGGGTATCTTATAAACAGGAGGTAAAAACGGACCACCACCTGGACGTAATGGAGATTTGATTGGAATTAATTGTGGCTTGGGAATTTTTTTATTACTATCTTGTTTCTCGTCATCGTTCTTATCTTGTTTCTCATCATCTTTATCATCATCTTTATTCTCGTCGTTATCATCAAAGGATTCAGTCTGATTGTCATCTCCTTTATTATAATCAGTCACAATTTCATCTTCATCATCGTTATGAATAATATCATTGTTTTCGTTTTCTTTATTATTTTTCTCATTATCACTATTATTCGTATTTGCTTCTATCATGGTCGTTACCACACTTTTATCTCGCCAATCTTCTTTTGTTGAAGTTGGATTGGTATTCTCTACGGTTGTGCTACTTTCATCATCGTTTCCCTCATTCTTATATTCCCCTTCTCCATCTGTGTGTTCAACTGTAGTATCATCTTCAACTGTAGTATCATCTTCAACTGTGTTATCATCTTCAAGATTCGGAATATTTGAATTTATAATTGGATCCTTTATTTCATTTGTATCTTGGTGATCCAGAGTTGGAGTTGTTTCTTTGGTATCAGGGGTGTCGCTCTCATGAATATATACCAAGTCCTCGCGCGATATCACCAACATGTCTGTATAAATAAGTAAACACATTATTCCCAGTAACATTCCAACCAACAATACTAGCGACCTTCGATTCCACATGTTTCAGTTTTATTAATGTTAATTAATTAATTAATTTAATAAGTATCAGTGAAGTTGCGCTGCAACTGAGTAAAGCCAAAAAATTGAAAAGAAAATGTCAGTTTGAATTAGCAATTATATTTCCTAATGTGTGACTAATATGGAATAGCACCACAGAAAAATTTCAGGGTATCACAGTATTGCCCATAGTTTCTCTGAGCATTTTTATTTTCGTTCCATTTTAATTATTCAATATCCGCTGTATAAAAAATATGCGTCTGGCTACTTTCTTGTTGTTGCTAGAAAAAAGGGTTACTATTTAGCTTTATTTTTACAGCTTCACGATCCCTTAATTTTTTCGGTTATTCTTTCATTTTCCATGGAATCTTTTTTTTTAATTGATCGGCCTCGCAGCGATTTTGTTTCATTTTCTATTTAGGAATAGAATAGCTATCGCTATTAGGTCCCACTCTTACAATCTTGGTTTCAATTCTTGATCATCCCTCAAATGTGAAATATCTATGGCATTTATGAAAAAATGGCTAGCTTTCAAAATATATAAAAGGGTATGATCGCTGAATTTTGTTTTGCCAAATTTAATTAGATTAACAATTTATTGTCTATCGATCGATATATACAAAATTATAATTTGAGCTACACATGCATTATGCAAATACAAATACACAAGGGGAAAAATTAAATTATTCTAACTTCCAATTTCACATTCTGCAGTGTTTGGATTCCAGTTCATTTGAATATTATACTTGATGCCCGAAACGATCATGTTGTAATTAGCATTATTGTCAGCCTTGACAGTTGGTCCAAAATTGAAATTACATTTATCAGCACTTTCTTGACCTTTTGAATCGTACCAAGCACTCAAAAAAGGATCATTCAGGGATTCGATCATTTCATGAGCCATGATATTAATCATTCCGTCAATACCGACATTCGAATTTGGCGAAATGTCAGGATTTCCTGTTGCGCAACCAGGTGCACACTGTTGTTCAGCATTTCCCACGTAGGCGAATAGCAATTGCGTGTTATCTGGACGCGTAAAGTGTGAATGATACCCACAATAATCTTTACAAAATCCTTCCGATTGGACATCTTTCGAGGAGAGAACATAGTAAAGAGCATTTGTTTCTACGGGTAAAAAGTTTTTATCGATCGCTTCATTTATGATGTCAATATGATTTTGTTTTGTGAGTGATGTACCAAAGGTATATTCGTTAGCTAATACATGAGTAAGTTGGATTGGGCCAGTGATATTTGTGTTCGCTAGATTAGAATATTGTCGTAATGTTTGAAACCACGGCGTACCATCAACATTTGTAAAGAAATTCTGAAGAATGTCGCGTTCATTTTGATCGTTCCAGTTTCCGTAATAGATAAAATGAATATTTATTGGGCCACTCATTATCAGTCCCTGATGATAATCAATATTCACTGAATTATCAAGAAAAACATGTTCTTTAGCGCCTTTATGATTTTTGTTATTACTACCAGTACTATTATTATTATTATTATTGTTAGTATCATTATTATTATTATTCAAGTTTGGATTGTAGGGAGAAGCAATGCCAAGTGCTTGATAAGTTTTTTGTTTGGTACTCGTGGTTGTAGCAGTAGTAGATTTAACTTTAATCGGTGGTTGCGCGTTTGATTTGATACTCGTGTGTGGTTTATTATGATGATTTGGTTTTTTTGTTATTGGATGGGCTGATACTCCATCGTGGTCGCTCGACGGAAATGCTATGAATAGGGAAAAAGTGGCAACAAAGAGTATTAGAAGATTTTTTCTAAAATACATTTTCGAAATGTATTTTTATCAGAATTCGCTAATATGTTTAATTTGATTAAAGTATGGAAAGGAGGAGGTGTAAAGATATGAGAAGGGTGTAATCAAAAAAAAAATATATGTTCCAGCGCAAGCGCGTTATGTTGCAAATTCGAGATAAATTATTTCGAGTTCCCTTTCAAAGCAACGACCGGCGAAGTATCAAAGGAAGACAGTGAAAGAAAAGAAAGTGTAATGTTGTATATCTGCGTATGTAGCGGCTAAGAGATCTTTACGACATTTAAATTTCGTTTCCATTTTTATATCTTATTTATTCGCTCGCGATTTTTGTTCCCATGCGTATGTGTGCGTGTATGCGTGTATCATATTTCGGATTGGGTACACAGACTTGATACAAATATGGACAATAAAAAATTCTATCAAGGATGAAGGATTTGTTCTCGAATTAAAGAAAACCACACTTTGTTTAGAGAACAAAGTTTAAATAATTCGGCCATTGTTTGCATAATCATTTATCCGAATTTGTCTCATAATATGTGTATATTTTATTGAGTGCCTACAATGTTTTCGGGTGATCATTTCCAATATAGTAAGAAAATACAAACGCAGACAAAGAACATCAGGTCGAATAGACTTTAATTTTTTATATACTAGTTGGATAATACAAAATGAAAAATATGAGTTTATACTATATAATACGACTATATAAGAGAGATATTAATAGGATGAAATATATAGAAAGAAATTCCTACATGGTAAATAATTTGTTTTATATATATATATATATATATATATAAATATATATACGGTTTACATAAAGACAAGAAAAAATTAAGTTGTTCAGTGAAGGATCTACTCTAGACTTTTATTTTGCTGATCGTGTGACACGTGGTTGGGATTCTTCGTTGGTAGAGTGCGAAGCGGAACGCGTGGCACGTTTTTGAGGTTCCTCAGCAGTAGACTGTGTGGCAGTAATTCGGGTTCGTTTAGTTGGTTGGTTCGTTGTGTGATCAGTCGGATTTTTGGATCTTTTGTTGGATCTCTTCGGAGGCTGAGTTGAAACATTCGCTTCGACTTCAATCGGAGAAGCGACAGAGTCACTTGGAGTATGAGGTGATGGTTCGAAATTAGGCACAGCAAGGGATTGCGCTGAATCTTGAGGAGGCTTTTCAACGGATTTTTTGGAGTTTCGAGTATTTCGTTTTTTGGAATTAGCTGTTGATCTTGCATTCTTCTTTTTGGTTGTTGAGGAAGACTTATTGGTAGTTGAGGAAGATCGTGTATTATGTGAAACAACTTTGTTGCTGCCATCCTTATTACTGGTCTTTAGATTTCTTTTTGGTTTCGATTGGGTGACGGATTTAGTTTTTCGGATTCCATTAGAAATTCTATTGGGGGTCTTTCTGGATTTTCCGTTACTTGAGGCATCTTTACTAGCAAGCGTTGATGAACGAGTATTATAGCCATTGGCCTTCGATGCGGATCGAGTATTGTAAACCATCGCTTAATCTATGTGAAAAAAAATTAAATCTCAGTGATCCTCCCATCTGTCATTAATGGCGGATAAAAACTAGCATATACATATTCGAAGCCAAAACTCAAGCAAATCATGGTAGACCTACCTGAGTACCAATTTCCTTGAAATATAGCTTTTACCGTGGATGTTATAAATAAAGGGTTGAGCGACTTATTGCGGCTACTTTTCTTAATTTTTTCGATCTACGAAAGGATTACTACGATAAAGTGTCGTAAGTAAATTAATTGTGACGACGTTCAAATGTAAAATTTATTCGGAGGTTCCAAACCCAAACCACCTTAAGTGATCGCTTGATATAAATTAAATACCTTTCTGCTGTTCTAGTTGTTCGATTCTTTAATAATAAGATGTTAGTTTGTTCGAAGGAATGTTAAGATTAGTGGAAAAAGAAATTTAACAGGTGCGAACGTTGCGTTTTGTAAGAAATAACCTGCTTGAATCGAATTACTTTCGGAGTAATGAAATCAAAAAATCAAAGTTAATGCAACAGAAAGCACAAGCTCATAGTGTTTTTTTTTTTGTTGACTGATATTAGTCTACTCAATAGACCCTGGAGTCGCGTCTTGCTTTTATGATTGTGGGTCACCTGAATTTTTATTGTATACAAATACTCAAAAATAAAAAAATTATCCACCAATCAAATATTTTCTCATCAATCCCATAAACATCCGCAATCTATTTAAAAAGTATAAAAGATCAAATCACGGTACTTCTCGTGATTCTCTACTTCATTCAGTAGGAAACTTTACCTGTTTGTTGACTTTAAGTCTTCAATACAGATAATTTTTCTACATATGATGAATTTTGGGGAATTTTAATCTGATTGAATATGTGATTAAGGAAAATCCCTGGCCGCAACAGCCGTATCTGACTCCGCTACTGAATGAAGTTTACTTATGAACTAGTCAATAACCGTTATCGGTATTGAATGATATAAATAGAATTTTTTCGGGGATTGTATTATAGACAAAAAAATTATGTACAAAATTGCAATAAAAAAAAATAACATTGAATGAATGTTTCACAAGTATTGTTTCAGATTGGTAGTTAAATTAATCGGCGCAGATTTCTTAATAAGCGAGATTTTATGAATGAAATGAAGCGCGAAAATGTGTAAATTGGAGTGGTGATCAGATCCGCCATGTTCATAATGCTCGACGCTAATCCCTTCCTCCCTTGACTTGATTAAAGAAACGTTCATTATCGAAGAATATTAAATGTTTGATTTTTTTTCTTTAAAGACTTGTATTTGAAGTTGAAGAAGTATTAGTGCTTGGTCTATTAAAAATACTAGTTTCACCATCAAAACCCATCCCTTTCGCTCTTTTCTTCCTGTTCCATGAACCATCACCGTATTGTTTGTCCCACTTCCTTAGTTCCGTTAAACTAGACATATCTTCGGAACAGGATGGTGTTACTTGTTTGAGTGCGAGTTGAAAATGATGTTCTTTCAATATCCGAATAGGTGGTGCTTCTATGGTAGATCTCGAGGAATTATTAACTGTGTCATTCTCTCCTTTCTTTTCTTGAACTTGACTATTGTTTTTCGCTTCTTTCTCTGCATCCTCTCTAACTGCAGCTAACGCAGCACTAATGCACAGGTTCTTTAAGTCTGAGCCAGAATATAGATTTGTGATTTTAGCTAGATGAGACAGAGACACGGAAGGATCAAGTCTCTCGTCACGCAGATGTAGTGTCAATATCTGTTCACGATCTTTTTCGTTCGGTAAATCAACTACAGAATGAATCGGCATATTGATAAACTACTCAATCGGATGATGCATTCTTAATAGAAAATGCAATTAAAATTTACCTAAAATCCTTCTTGGCATTCTCCGTAGAATAGCATCATCTAGATCGAAAGGTCGATTTGTAGCACCCATTATTAAAACACCTTCATTTTGCGATGTGAGGCCATCCCATTCTGCCATAAATTGATTGATGATTTCACGATGAGCTCCATTATGATGGTCAGAACGACGTGAATTAAAAATTGCGTCCACTTCGTCCAAAAATAAAACGCATGGTGAAAGTTTTCGAGCCAATGAGAATATTGCCTAGTCAAATGTGCAAGATTTAATAATGATCCAGGATACTTTTTATAATATGCATGCAATTTCAATACAATACAGTACACATACATACCCTAACATTTTTTTCACCTTCTCCGACAAACATATCATAAATATCACTAGCTTTTATGTCTAAAACCGTGCTACCACTTTCCTTGGCGACAGCCCTTGCTAACATTGTTTTACCAGTCCCTGGAGGTCCAAATAATAAAACGCCTGATATGAAATGTTTAGATAATACGCCATAGCTAAATGATTGTGGCCGAATTAAGGGCAACGTAATAAGTGTTTGAAGAGTTTGAACAGTTGATCTTGATACGTGAATATCAGAGAAACCGGTTTGAATTTTTTCTTAATTAGAAAGAATTGTCAATTTAATATTAAGTATTGAATTCGATCAATTCCTTCCACACGAATATGGCAATTACCTGGCACAACTATACAGCTCAATATTCTTTTCTCATGCCTATCAAGATCATCTTTCTTTAAATTTTTGCGTCCTGGCAAATTAATTTTTCCATCACCGAGACCAACAAGGCTGACCATTTTTTCGGCTCCTTTATTTGTGAGGTCATTGCTATTGGAGGCATTCTCCACAAATTCTTTACGCAGATTCTGATTGTTTTTCAGAGTTTCTAATGCAAGAACAAAATGTTCAACTTCCAAAGCTACAGTTTCATTAACTCCTAGAACATTATGATTGTCGAGCGCAATACCAATAGTGTTCATAACAAGTCTATGAACTTTTTCGAATCCCCAAACTTCATTCTCGATATTTTCCAATTTTGACAGCATTTTTCCCAACACATGAATGTCATCTTCCTCGAAATTAGCTCCCTTATTTATACATACAGCTCGAATATTACGAGTATTGATTTGTCGAATTGCAATGTTTTTATCATCATTTATCAACGATTGCAACTTCTCTGCTAGCACTTTCGATGACGATGGAGGTATAGCTATATGAGTAAATGGAACTAACAGTGCGGGATTGGGAAATATGTCAAGATTCACCCATTGAATCTCATGTGGTAGTAAAGACGACGATGAACTAGGTTGGGATTTTTTCTCCATTGCGAATAACGACGGAGAATGTCCTGCAATGATCATAATTCTATCGCCAATACTACGCTGATTCTGAACTGCATCAACCAGGGCATTGATAAGTGCCGTGCCGAAATTAGTCGGTATCAGGTCGCCTACATCTCTAAAGTATATAATTCTTGGCGTAGAAGGAACTTCTAAAGACATTCCAGTTGTATATGGTGGCGTGGCAGAGATCAAAGCTTCAAAAAACTTGTCCATTTTCTCCATAATAACTTTCATTTCTCCTCGCAATACACCATTCGAATTAGAGTTGAAATTGAAAGCCTCCCCGAAATTTTTATTCTCATATCCAGAATTGCGACCTGAAGTTGAAGCTTCGAAATTTTCTTCTTCATCTACAAAGATATCATCTTCAATTTCCTCTTCATTTGACAGTGAAGATGTAGTAGAATAAGGTGATGCTGCGATATAGGGATTAAAACCTTTCAGGTCAGGGAATAGGGGCCAGGGTGTCGCTATTTAATTAAATTTAATCGGGACCAAGATGTTATTGATAATATTGGCGTTTTTTGGCAACCAAATTCAAAAAATCACTACCTTTCCGCGAAAACATATCGGCGGTTAACTCCATCAGATCCTGTCTATCAAATATCAACAGATCAGCCTGTAGTTTAGCGGCTACACTTTTCACAATTGCATCCAGATAGAATGATGCCCCTTCCAATGGACAATTCAGTAATAAATGACCTCTTCGGGCTGGTATTGTATCTGTTTTTTGGCATGGTAAGAGACTCGCACGCGCACTATATAAAATTTCTTTACGAATCCCATCTTCAATTGGATAATGCATTGATTCAAAAGAATAATTATTCTTATCGAATGACAGATAATTCGTTTTTATAAACGCTTCGGGGATAATTGGCTTGTATTGAATAGTAGAAGATTGTTTTGTTATTCGTGGACGTGCCCTTGATGAAGTTGACGCGCGTTTTCGTCTTGGTATTCTCGTCACAAAATCGGACAACTCGGACGTATTAGTATCTTTTGACGAAGCTGACTGCGTTTCTTCAGGAGCTCGTGCAGCCTCCGGCTCCTCATTGCCTGGATTCGAATTCGGCAAATTATCCGTAGCTGAGTTCGAATTTACAGAACTATCAGGCTTCATTGGCGAAGCCGAGGTTTTCGGAGGATCGTTGGGTGGTATAGAGAAACATTTTATAGAGGTTGTATGAAAAGATTGGTACCTTATCGCGTACCTTGTCCTCTTCCTATATATATCTTTTTCTATCCCGAGAGCTTTTAAAGTACGAAGTGAAACTCTCATCAAGTTTTTATGCATTATTCCATTAAAGAAGGTTCTCTACTTCTCCTTCTCTTCGCAGTCGTCGTATTAAATCCAATCCAAAAATTTCAATGCCCATGTCTAAATCCGCGTAAATTCTAGTCACCTTGTCGATCGAATGACGTAATTACAAATTTATGATTGGTCGATAAAATTTTTAAATTTTCTTTTTTTTATATTATTTCTTCCCTCTTTCGAATCCACTTCGTCTTTCGCTTTTACAAAGATGGTGGTAAGTTGTTGTGATAGTTCAAGGAAAATTGAAGGTCATCCATCAACGTTTGATCTGCAAAATTATCTCGATATTTATATGGAATTAATTGATTATATATGGCGTGGGATAGTTTTCACGAATAAACTAAAGGCAGAGTCACTTTTTGCCGTTAAGCGTGTAAAGCTTAAACGAAATTATTGTCATTTTGAAATATGCAATTTTCTTTCCACAGCAAGGTGCTTTCAAGCGTCTCGTCGAAGTTGGCCGAGTTGTTTTCCTAAATTATGGCGATGATACCGGAAAACTCGCCGTCATTGTTGATATAATTGACCATAATCGGGTACGGAAAAATTTTTTTAATTGTTTAGGCATTTACGATGCATACTCTAGCTAAATGCACCCTCACCTTAGGCACTTGTCGATGGACCCAGCACTGGAGTTCCTCGTCACGCTCATCCGTATCGGCGTCTAACACTCACCGATATTGTCATTGAAAAGTTTCCACGAGGTGCTCGATCACCCACTGTAAAAAAATTCTTTGATAACCAAAAAATTCTGGATAAATGGAATAAAACTGCCTGGTCAAAGAAATTGGAGAATCGCAAGAAGAGAGCTGCGTTAACGGATTTCGATAGATTTAAGTTGCTTAAATTGAAGAAACAAGTAATTTTGATTTCGCCATTGTTTTTTTTAGAATGATTTCATGATGATTGATAGGATGAATGATTAAGAATTTTTTTTTGCTTCCCTAGCGTCGTTGTCTTCTTCAAAAAGAGATTTCCGCATTAAAGGCCAAATCTTAAGATATTAAACAGACGTTAAACTTTATTATTATCATAAAATCTGCCTTTGCCTATTATTTATTAATTAATCATATGTGATGCAGAAGTTAGAATTGCACATTTACATAACATGATATTTGACATGTCATAATCTTAATTGATGTTCTAGTTGCATAATAACGATAAGTGCTAACTGATTTGAATTCGATTATGATTTGACTGTTCTATTTTTGGATCAAACTAAAAACCTTATCTACAATAATGATAAAGCAAAAAAAAAAAAAAGGCACAATTTGTACAAGCTTTTAAGCATATAATATAAAGTTTAAAAATACCACTTTTCAATCTAGAATAAATTAGCTTTATCAATTTTTTAATCTTATTTAAATGTTCGAGTTTCTTTCAAGGAACTTTTTTGTATTTAAAAAGCTGCATTAAAATTTATTTCTTAATTTAGGTTTAAACCAAATTTTTCGAAATACTAACGCTAAGACTTTTTAAAAAAATAGTACTAAGGCCAGATAAATCTATGAAGCTAAGCTTTTTTAAAATAGCGATATGAGGTGTAACATTAAATTTTTGACATTTTTTGCCATTGTTCCTTTTATTTAGAATTCCCAACAATCAATCATATCATAGACCCAAAAATAATGACAATAACAAATAATAATAAATACGTAATAAGCTTTGTCTGCTTTTTTGCGTATATCGATATAATGAAACAACAATAAAAATTGGGTCATACTATTTTCATCATTGTAACTGCGAAAAATAAGAGTGACACCCATCGGGTCAATGAATTCTGCTAAAAAAAAATTTTAACTATAATCTACCACTACACCCGTAAGGAATTCATCGTGCTTTTTTTATCAGTATAATCAATTTGGTGCTGAGCACAATTAAAAAAAGTGCATAAGAAAATTAACAACTTCAAGGGCACACGAGGTTCACGGCACGTAAGACAAATAATCTCTTTTCAGCAGTTACATTTTTATTTATCCGTATACAAACGAGTAATATTAAAAGACACAATACCATCATACATTAACTACATACATAATATGCCACGGAAGGTAAGCAAAAGTCAAAGATACGGGCTTTCATAAAAGACCCTGTAACACGCAGTAAATGTAATTTTCACTTGGGCAATTTTCCTTTTTATAGCACTGCAGAAGTTCAGCCAATAAAATTTATACCTTTTGTATTTCTGCCCCCTATTCACTTATTTTTTGATGAAACGCGCCCACCGTTTCAATTTTATATTTTATGGAGTCACAAATAATTGCGTTCTTGTATAGCAGCTAGTAACTTCTTGAAATCGTTCAACAAACTTCGCGTGTTTGGCGTGTTTGTTAGTAAAATTCCGCGAAATATATGTTTTTCCTTAGAAAAACCAACAAGTTTAGAAGAAAAAACTCGTAATTTATGCACATTACAATATTAAAACACAATAACCCTAGTTTCA